AAAGTAGGTAACGTTGTGTTTTGGATGGTTCCATCAAAATACTTAAAACGATTTTTGATGCGTCCATTAATCACTTCTACGATGTAACGATTTTTCGAAATGAGTCGTGACTGATTCGCTTGTTCAACCGTTAGTGGTTTCCGCGGTGTATCTGTCGAAGTAATCGCAGGACGTATAAAAAGTCGTTAAATAATTCGAGGACAGTTCGATATCCATAGAAGAAGACGACGAAATGTAAAATATACGTAAGTTCCGTTATCATCACATTCGTACGTTGAACGTATTTTTGACAACTTTCCCATCGTTTCTCGGGAAAGTGATAAGGGCATTTTTTGTTCCTTGGGAGACACTCTAAAAGATCCTGCATGAATTTTTCATTTCCAGGCGATGCCAAAAACGAGCATTTCTTATCACCCTCCTTTAATACAATACGTCCAAACATGACGATAATGTGGCCACAGTGAAAATTGGCTGCACTCGCCTTCTCACTGGCTTTCATTAAAATCTGATGCGCTGGAGGAAGTCGAGTAATCCTGCGCGATTGCATCTCGAAAAGTGGAAAGTTCGAAATGACGAGTCGCGACATCGATTCTCTGGATATCTCGATGACGCTTCAGAACTTTCTTCGCGGGCGCCAGAGATATCTGGGACGCGACTCGATTGTCTTCGATTTGAAATTTTACATGAGAAGATGCACAGAATCTCGGTGATTCTATCTATAGTCTGTCAAGGAAGATCGCGACCCACATTTGTAAAATATTCAGGAGTAAAACGATATGCAAGTTTTTATTTACTCGACACAAATCATGAATTTTTTGCATAAAATTGCAAATAGATCATATGTTTCCCATCACTTCTTTTAATTGTATCGTTAAAGTTTCTAGCCCTCCAAAAAGTAATTTTGACCATCATTCCAATGATTTTTTTGATACAACATAGACACAATTCATAGAGAAACTGATCATTTGAATAATCAACTAAAATCACGCTTGTATCGGAAAGAGTTAAGTTGGCAAATGCTTTGTAGCGACAAAAGAGTAAGATTAATTTTATTTTATAAGAATTATTTTCTTTCGTGAAAATTCTAGAAAATTCTGATTCCTGTTATAAGCGGACGTAGATAACAGATCTCGGTTAGGAGCGAAACTAGTTTGAAGTATGGTAATTCAATTATCATTTAGCATTGTATTCCTCGGGGGGCTCCCAGGGTTTCAATTAAATTCGCTAAAGTCAAAGAACAACGCAGAGTAAGTGGTGTTCTTCATTATCTGCATTGAAACATACCCGAAATGGGCTTTCTAAAGGAAAGAATGCCTTTTGTTTAAATCAGCCATTGTATTAACTTTTAACGTGGACGGGTAACGCATAATTGTCGTATTCAGATTCTCATCTAAATAAGGAAAAAGTAATTATGCTTTCATTAAATGGGCTCTCTTTAAAAATCGTACGCTTTTCGACAAACTGAGCTTGGATTTATTTTTTGCAATTATTGTTAGCGAAATACATTATATCTGATAAATAAAATTCAATGTAATATTTGTGGTTTGATGATGATTATACTGATTATAATACTGATTATATTAATAGTCCAATCGAGGTTACTCCTAATATATTTAAATCGTTTGACCTCGTTAAGGTTCTCCTTCGAACATAAACTAATAGTAATAATAAAAGTCGAATTATTAGAATTTTCACTGAACAAAATATAAGGGTTATAAGTATAAAATTATAATTCCATAATTAGTAAATCAGAGTCGGACATTTTTATGTATAGTTTACTCGATATTTATTTCAGACCAAGTAAACGCCATAATCCTTTTTAATTATAACAGAAAAGTTTCCCTGTCATTTTATTTTACATAGGTTTAGAAATAGAAAGAAAACCAGGACGACCTTTAGCCGCGTGGATTGCAACGGAAATTGAAAACTCTCGAGGGAAATGTCAAGAGATGTTTCTATAATTTCTCAGCGAGGCTACTATTAGGGGATTTGCTTAGTATTAATATCCGGCTCGGGTCAAGCAGCGATTAAATCTTCCCGTAAGACGTGCATCGATAATACCCTCGAAACACGCATAGTTTCCATTTGCAGTATCAACATGCAATTATAGAAATAAAAATGTAATTTCATTTATTAAAACGAAAAATTCTCAACGGGTATATATTTAGAATCTATATTACAGATCCACTCAGAGTTTAGGTGTGGGAGATGAATAATAAAAGAAGAATATATTTTCCTTTTATCTACTTTTTTATTTGTTATACCATTGAAATTGCTATTAGAATATAGCTTATAAATATAGATTTATATATTTTATTTCAGGACCTGTAATTCCAAGATACATAGAAAAGAAGATAAAAGGAACATATGTTGTAGGTAATATAAATATAAGCACTTGTTTTCGGGAAAGCAGTGTTATGTATGTTTAAATATATTATTAAACGAAAATATAAATTGTATGATTTATAGATAAATATATAATAAAATGAATTTTTATTATAATTCCTATGAAACATTCAGTAAAAACACTGTTTTGAATTTACAGTTTAAAATCTCGTGCAATTGTTACCTCGCAATAAAGCAGCTTTTCTTCCTCGATTCGTATTGCGAATAAACGAAGCAGCGACTACAAATTTATAATATAGACGCCGAGGTTCTTGCTGGTTGAGTACATCGATTTTCAGAGGGAGCAGTTACGCTCCGATTCCGCTACGAATTAACTATCTCGTAATCCGATTAGCGAACACCAGATTGTGTAATGCCAGTCGAGCTCATCCTCTTCGTTGTCCCGAGGTTTTTATGCCTGGGTTACAGGATGTGGATGCAATCCCACAGCCTCGCGTACATGTGTTTTACGGTCCTGCTCCGCTTTGAATTTTAGCTCCAATATTTCCCTTTACCACATCGTATCTATCCACCGAGCGCTGCTTTCACACATTACTAATCAAATTATCAGACTGTACAAAAAATATTGTTATTCTACTCAAGTGATAGTATTCATGGAGTAACAATATTTTTATACTTATCACTGTATTGATACTGGCATGTTTGTATAGGTATTCTTTATTGTTTCATTAATGAATCTGACTTCGCTATTTTCATCCAATTCTCTTTATTATTAATTATAGAGTTTTCGCAGGCATGTATGGTTCTAACGATTCCGTCATTTTTCAAATTCTGAAAGAAAATATTTTTTGTTGTGACTAGTCTGAATGATCAAATAAAACAAATATATATGATTTCATTAAGAAAATTAATGCTTTTGAAGTGTCTTCAGAGCTTCCATTTAGAATAAAGAAAACATGTTTACCATATACCCTTTACAAAATCAAACATTCCCTACCTCAAATACTTTTTCATATGAGCCTATTTCGATTTAAATTCACCGCATCGATTTGTAAAAAACGATATCAAACCGAAATAACTTGCTACCTTAAGGGGGGAGTCTGGTCCAGCTAATGTATTTTTCTAATGCATATAATTTCCAGATATAATTAATTTTTGTTATTGAAACTTTTTTTATATACAAAGGAACGTTCAATGAAGAAAATTTGACAATGTAGATTTAATTTGAATGTATACATATATATAGATATAGTAGTCGCAAGGAAAGAATTCGGTCAAAACAGTGGGACGCATAGCTCACCGAAATTTTTATCCGATTCACTTGATCCAACGCTTAAATTGAAGGTAATTAAGTTTATATACTAATGAACCTCGACTCTTGATGAATTATTATTATAGCATAAAGTTATTGCAAAATAACGGCCAACATGTATTGTTTATTTTCATGTTTTTTGCCGCCATTTTTGTAATTAACAATTTTTTTTTGCAAATTGAGGCTCATACGCATTTTACGTACCTACTAAAGAAAAAAATTTTCTGATTTTATCTATCAGATGTTTTCACAGGGCTCCACGTATCCCACCGTTTTGACCGAATTCTTTCCTTGCGACTACTATATCTATATATATACATAAAAATTAAATTTACATTGTCAAATTTTCTTCTTTGAACATCCCTTTATATGTAAAAAAAAAGTTTCAATAACAAAAATTAATTATATCTGGAAGTTATATGCATTAGAAAAATACATTAGCTGGACCAGATTCCCCTATTAAGTAACGTTAAGTTAAGGGGTTAATCGCAGTCAGGAAAATGGAGACGGACAGTTTCTTGTATGTTTTTTTTTTTAAGGTATCAAATAATAAATTTTATTAATGAAATGTAAATATATCACAAAGTATGTCTTAAAGAACTATAAAAGAATTTTTGTTTTAAAAAAAGGTTAATGCATTTCGTGATAACAGGCGATGGCGCGGGTGGGTGGCCGCTTGGTTTGCGGTGAGCAAAATTTCTTCAAACTGGTGCACCTGAAAACAAAACTAAAGGTAGATTTAGAAAATATATTAGACTAACGGGTGCCTAATCGAAGGATTTTTTATTTTCTTGTATACTTTTTTTTTTATCCTGTATTGAATCGCTTAATTTTAGTGAAAAAATTGAAAATCAACTTCAAATGTACGCCATCTTGTTTTAAATTAATTTTTTTGAAAATCCTTCGTTCAGGGACCCGCTAGACTAATCTATTTTCGAAATTTACCTTTGGTTTTGTTTTCAGGTAAACCAGTGTAGAGAAATCTTGCTCACCGCAAACCTATGTTTTTAAACCATCGTCTACGTCATCGGCTGTTATGACCATATAAATTAAACGTTTCTTAAAACAAAAAATGTTTTTTAGTTCTTTAAAACATGCTTTATAATATACTTAATCGTTACTTATCCAAAGTATTATTTAATAACTACAAAAAAAATCACAAAGAAATGTCGTTTTTTCTCTTCCTGACCGCGACTAACCCCTTAAACGAAAACTGTCTTCATTCTTAAAAGTGGTAAGAACAATAATAACGTTGTCCTAAAAAGTTTTTTCATCATCAAACGTTACGTCATCGTTGAAACGGGCCTTCAGCCTAGTGCAGCGCTATAGGAGGTTTTGCAGGAGCCGAAGCACGATATTATACGAGGGTTTACCTGTATAATTCGATTGATTATATCAGCGAAGTGGCCCGTGGCGCTTGGTATCGGCGGCACCTTGAGCCGTGCCTGGTTGGAGGGGGTCAGGTCTGAGGGGAATCACGAGGAGTGGGGGAAACGAGGAGCCCGGCAGGCAGCCAGGAAGGAGTACCGCGTGTCTGCCATCTCTGTCTTTGGTTCAGTTCGAGTTCGGCGCGCAGCCGGTTCGTGCCTGTGTGTTTCGCGCGCGACTTCCGCCTGATCGCTCGTTTCTTCTCCGCGGGCGACTTGCGTCGATACTTTCGTCGTCGACAGTGTTTTCCCGTCGACTTCTGTCCGGAACGCGGTCACCGGGTCGTACTTCCGATTAACGTTAGTAACGAGCTCTGATTCGCGACCGTCTCGTAAGTTCACCGACGAGGTTGTCACACATCGTGGCCTTTAAAGAGTATCGAGAATCTCGACAGTTACTCCGATTCGTGTGTCATATAGTGGCAGAGTGTTGTGTGGTGTCGTTGACTGATCTCGACAATCATTCATTTACAGAGATGGACAACGATTCTGTTTGGATAGTAGGTAACAATGATATATTCGTGAAACGGGTAATTTAATTCCATTACTCACCTCGTGAAATTATAGAGCGAATTGTAGAGTTCTGTCCATCTCTGTTCATCGGACGTAGATAGATAAGAGGTTAGTTTTGCTACCACCGTCTCCGTTAGGGTTTTTCTTTATTTTTGTCCCGTTGCGAGATCACTCGCGAATGTTACGACGTAGATTACTCCGAAATATCGATTAGCCTACAGTTTCGCGTGTTGAATACGTATCTCCGTTTTAGGGTAAGGTCAAGACGATGGCGACGTAATTTAAACGGAGCAGTGTTTACGTTGGGTTTTTTACGTTCGTGCGGTTTTCTTCTTGTTACCAATGTTGTCACTTTCGGTAACTTATACAGTCTAGAAACTTTCTTTACGGTTTTCAGAACTGTATCTCCGTTTGCTAGACTTTGTGACACGTGTTCCCGAGTGAAATTGAAAATGATTTATAGAACGAAGGATATTACCCGTATTTCACGTTTTCGCTCGCGATAATTATGGTAAGAGTTCGCTATCTTCGAGATTCCGGCAGATTTAGAATGTACACGCATTTCCCCTAACAAAAATTGCGGTTAATTATTGCTTTCATTATCACGACCGGTAATTTATTATTTGGGACGAACGATTAATCAGGAGGATTAGGTAGCTCCCGCGCTGACATCATTGACAGCTAATTAATCAGTGGCGTACGTATCTCGTGTACGAGTAACATCGGACGTTTGCCGAGATAAGTCTGCTGTCACGGAAGCAGTAGTTATTTGGCAATAAAATTCGTAATGAGCTTTCCTTTACACAAAAACAGTGATCAGGTAATTATATCAGATTATTTTTTAAATCGAGCCATTTCTTTCGTATTTCCTCGCAATCTAACCTTTAAAGACCACGCTTGTCTTGCATTCGTGAAGTTAATCTCGTCGGTGAACATAATCATTAATAAATATTTCTGCTTCCTTCGGAGCGGAAAATTTTAGTGCGAGCTTCAGAATTTCGTGTCGAGTTTACGATTTTCCAGTTAATTAATCTTGTATAATCAGAAACACGCGATTCTAACTATATACGATTGTTTATTGACAAGCTGACAATTTGATGTGTCACCAACTTAGCTACTCGCTCTCAACGTTTTTTCCGTGTGTTTTTACTTAAAAGTGAACGTGCTATTTCTATTAACATGTCTCGCGGGTTTTCTTTTTTTTTTTCTTTTTTTTAAGAAAATATAGAACGTTTGCAGGACGTTCACCCGTATTGACGCGTTGACGCATCATAGAAATGATAGAGGTTCTCTATTCGTCGTGTTTGATAGTGTTTGACAATAACCGATTTCAGTACATTTTGACGATATTATATGTTATATATATATAGTGTAAAGATAGTAATTTATTGAAATTCGAGCGTCAAGAAATAGTAATAATAAAATAGTAGTTTCTCGTTTCGCGACTGGAAGTTGGCTGCGAATATACAGTCAGTGTAAAAATTATTCGTACAACAACCCATGTAAAATAAATGGTTCCTGTACGAATACTTGTTACACTGACTGTATACGCAGCAGTTTATCCATTTATACAATTTATATATTATTAACACTAGTAACGATAAAATATAACAAGAAACTAATCGAAAGCTGAGTAAATTGAATCGAAAAAAATAGTTAACTATTAGCGAGAAGTAGGTACATATTCAGAATTCGCACAGATCGATGCACTTGTACGCATGCGCTGGTAGATAAAGACAGAATACTGCTTCCCTATTCATTCTATAACATTTCCAATATTTCAATGCGTAAATCTCGATCAATGGCAATGCCATTGTCGATCGATATAATAAAACAGTAATTTATCGAAACTCGACACGCGAAGCCATTCAGTAAAAATGCAATAATATTTCAAATATAACGATATAGAAACGAGAAAATAGTTCCTTAAATATAAATACGCCAGGTGGCGCATGCGCTCGCGTCTGCAGCGTTCGATTCTTTTCTGACCAATAGCGAGACTTCCCGCGCATACGAGCCAATCAGTGGGGTCCTATTTTGAAACTAATTCGCGAGTGACAATCGGACTCGACAGCGATCATTCCCGTGTAAAGCATCAGAGGAACAGAAGACGACCATGGTGTGACTCGAGTGGCGAAAGAGATCTTTCGGAAAGTGTGTGGTGATTGGTTTTGTTGGTGTTGTTTGATACGTTTCTGGGAGAAGGAAGCCCGTTGGTACCTGGGCCTCGTTTACATCGGTTTACTCATGCTGGGAGTTTTGAAGCGGCGCTGGAAGCCATCGAAAAGGTGAGTGCTCAATTCACGCGTCCCTTTCTGTACATTTATTTCATTTTGTTCGTCAAACGATTAACACGTTACCGGGCTATTTAAATCAGTGTAACTGGAAAGCGTAAATTTACTACATGTGCTATCATTTGGTCCCGCTTGCGAACATTTTTTATTTAACTTTTTTTGTGTTAGAATCCTGTCGAGGTATATGTTGTGGACGATATTTCGTAAATTGTATACACAGACGTGTTCTGAGTTTATCAGTAAAAGAAAATACAGTGGGTGTAGAAAGTATTCGTACACCGATCAATTTCCAGAAAAACTATGTAAAATTGTAATTTATTCAATTATGTTCTATAAGCAATGCCATTCTACATATTCTTGGAAATCTCTAGGATAGACAGATTACAAAAAAAAAAATAGCTATTTATGTAAGTTGCGAAATTAACAAGAAAAAAACAATTAATCTATAGAAATGTTGAAGCAATAAGTATTCGCACAACTGTTTAATTTTTAAAACTCGATTAAAAAAAAAAAGATATTTACATTAATTTACAAGTATATAATACTTCCTTCGTGAGATTTCCTTTTGATTTTATAATTATTGTACCTCTTCTAAGCATTAAATTAAGCATTCCTGTATTAGAACCTGTTTTAAAAGTACTTTACTGGAAATTTGATGTTTTATAATTCGCACGGAGCAATAAACTAATGTGTTTATGTTACAAACTCTACTGTATATGGTTCGTCATAAGAATCATACAAATACTTATTGCTTCTATACTTTTACCCACTTTACCCATATTAACTAGTAAATGTTGTTTGGACTATATCTATCTTAGAGACTTCCGAGAATATGTAAAATATCATTGATTATAAAAACAAGAAGTTAAGAATGTACAATTTCACATAAAAGTTTTTTGGGAAATTGATCGATGTACGAATACATTCTACACACACACTGTATGTATCTTAATCAGCTTTTAACACAAAACATGGGAAAATATATCTTTTTGTTCTGGAGTGTATCTGGGCCAATTTTACGTGTATGCATGTGCATTCGTGACAGCGTTGGGGAAATTTGAATGATTCTGTAGAGGGACCACGCGATGATTTTTTGTTTTTTTGACACGCAATGCACAGCGGGAGTCTGTAATGAACGCCATTGAAAAATGTGCGTTGAGAGTCTTTATGGTAGATATTCATATCGACGTGATCATTAGGATTAATCGATACCGTTTATCGTGCATAATATTATCAGTGAGAGTGAATATACTTAGAGAAGTAAACGATATGGTAATTCTTGTATGGTTTACAAATGAGAAGCTATCGTTGTACTTAATTTATTCTCTATGTATAGATATTCCCGATTTTGCTTGTCCGCGTTGTCGTTCACTGCGTTAAACACGTGAACCGCATATTACATTATAGGTTAGATTTAGCTTAGGTCTCGATTATTTTTGGGTTACGATGAAATATTCAAATTTATTCGATATTCAAAATATTCAAAATTGTTTGAAATGAAATCGATTATTAGAAATTAATTGTTGATCAGTAAGACGTGCGAAGGATATTCAACCACCACCATTTGATAAAGTGTTAAGCAACGAATGGGTTAATTTGTAGACGATGACCTGATTAAATCAGCTTTTATAACGTCGTACCGCCCAATGATTGGGATAGAACAGCTTTTTCCAAAACTATCGCATACGTACGCGTATCGTGAACATATTGCTAAATTCGTGGCAATATTGCCGTACGGGTAAATTTGTTGTAGCAATATTTACAACTGTACCGCAACTAGAACAATAGAACAATGGAACAATAGAGTAATGCGACTGTAACGAGAAGCAGTGTTACAGAACGAGTTACACCGCGAATAAACGTGCCGCATACCAAGCAATTTCAGTTGTCGAAAAGATAGAAAGAAGGGAAAAATAAGTAATCGGATAACAGTCGTCGCGGGGACGTATGCACGGGATCAAAGAATTTCGATGTCTCGTTATTTGTCGACCAACATTTTCTTTCCCTCTCGAACAGTTATATCCTGTTCGTGAAATCCTATGGGCGAACCAGACACCCTGTTTGAGATGTCGTTAGCAGAGAGGATCGACCATGGCAGTGTCTCTCGATCAGTCTGGTCAGGAAATATGGGGTTTTTCAAAAGAACAAATATCTTCTTTTATCTTTTAGTTGAATAAAATTGATCCTTTTTGTAGAAATTCATTTTTACTAGTCTCCTTTACTAGTTAGCAAATGATACTTGGTAAATAAATATAAAAGATAACAATTAAATAATAGTAATTGGAATAAAATAAATGAGCAAATAATAGAAATTAGAATTATAGTAGTACTTATAAGTAAATGAATAGAAAATGGAGTATATAAATATTAAAAATAAAATAAATTCTCCATTTATAGCTTTGTCTTATAACGTATTCATCTCTTTTCAATGTTATTCCTGTTAGAAGTCTTAAATTGCAAGTTTCAGTGGATTTTTCGTTTTTAGTATAACAGTTTTTCTCAACAATTACATAATATAGTTAATATATTACAGTATGATTAAAATATAGTTGAGAATTTTTCAGAAAAAGAAATTTTAATATCAAACAGTGTTAAATAAATTCCAAAAAGTTTGATTTCAATCTCGTTTATTTTCTTTCGCACTTTCTCGGGAGCATTAACAAACAACATATAAAAAGATTAAATTGACGAAGAAAACGATTTAAATTCATTAGTCATTTTTAAGTCTTGAACACATACAATTTTTTATCTTCTAATTCCACTTTAATTTTCTTTTATGGATGAGGTTCACGGATAGTTGAAGTTTGAGAGACACTGCCGCATAGGGCCGTGAGTAAATACACCTGCCTTCTGATTTCACATTTGTCGGATGATTCCCTTAGAGTAAACGCGGCATCCGCATCTCCGTGAACGGCGGAACGTTTAAAAAGATTGTCGTGTAATTCCAGCGGTGACTGCATTCGCCTCTAAAGCATTATTCCGGGTGAACAATTAGTCTGAATAGCAGCATACTAAAATGGAAACGGGATGCCAGAACTTTTTTACCCCGCGTTGATTACGGCACGTAAAAATTTCATTTTTCTTCCATAATGAAAACAACGAGTTACTCGCGCACGAGTTCTTCGTTTAACTACCAAAGCTTTATTGTTTTGTTTTCCTTTCACCCTACGGATTAAAATTGATAACGTCAATATTCAAAAACGAGATCGACGACGAAACTTGAAATATCGCTTGAAATAATGCATTCAACTCTGTGTAAAATTCTAATATATCTACCCCGATTTTTCCTAGAGACTTTATCCTTTTGTGGGGTCCGATGCGCCTGGGAAAATACTTGAGCTCCATGCTCTATAATTTAAAAACATTTACTTGTTAACAATTTACTTCTTGAATGTGCCCGACTTTATCCTTTTGTTCAATTCACCATATTTCCCGACGCCCTGTGTATTTAGCGTAATTTCGTTCAAAACCTATGGCAATGTAAATTTGACGAAACACGAACGGGGAAAAACGAGATTCAATGGTAACTTTGAAATTTTCCGTGGAACGGTTCGGTTCCTGATTTAGTCAACGGGTGATCTAATGAAAATTAATTAGGGGGGACCCGCGCGCAGCAGGTGTTATGATAATTCGTTTAAATTGGCCCGTGTAAACATTACCATGCAAAGTTATGCAGCGGGCTACGTAATCGCCGTCATTGCACACGTCCGCCAACGCTTTTGCGTCGATACGTTATTTAGGAAGAGTTGCAATTATGTTACAGGGAACCGCGGTCGCGTCGTCCATGTTATTCTAATTTACGATGCGAGGATGCATTCGAATATTTACACGGATTACGGGTCCGTTTCGATAATCGTATTTATGTAATCCCCGTTCTAACCGACATTATTTAGGATGATTAATTTGAATGCTGAGTGAACATTATAGATGGGTGAAATTTGTTTTCGGTAAATATTTCAAGCAATTAATTAAAAATGTACAATTATAGCTGGTAGCAGCTTTGGGAATTATTTACTGTAACTCCACTTTTATGTTTTGGTCTTGAGTATACTTTTCCTGTGCCCTATTCAAAATATTCTACTTTTTATGATTCTTCCAGAAGTAGAATTAAAATTATTTTTAACCAAGACAGTTCTTCCTTTCTCTCTCTCTCTATATAACATATTATATTTTACTATATTATACATATTAGGCTGTCCCAAAAGTTTTCTTTCGCTTGATTAAGAAGTAATACATGCACAATATTTTATGTTTTATGTTACATTACTGAATTGTGCACGATTCATTTTGCTCCATTACTGTTACAACATGAATATCTATGAAATTAGATTGTCTATTTATATAAACACGACCACATAAAATAATTGAGTGCAACTTGCGAAAGAAACTTTCGGAACAACCTAATATATACCTTCCCACTATCCTCCTACCTTATATTATTATTTTATGTTCTACAAAAATATAATTATTTCTTGGGCATGCATAACACGATGAATCATTCACAAATTAATTAACCGTTATATTTAACAATAAATAAATTATATATCTTCCCCCTATCCTTTCACCTTACATTATCATTTTATGTTCTACAAGCATATAATTAATTCTTGGATATGCATAACATTACGAATCATTCACGAATTAATTAGCCTTTAAGTTTAACAATAAATGATTAGATATATATAGTTGTTAAATATCTTCACAAGAAAACGTTATCTTGGGTGTTTGATTACGTTATGCAATAATCCAACTGTGATTCTTATCATTTTTTGTTTCTCTCTCTCTCTCTCTCTCTCTCTCTCTCTCTCTCTCTCTCTCTCTTCATAATGTTCCCCCGTAACTGTAACGCGTGTTACTCGATGCGCTTCCGGTGGGTGAATTCCTTAACGAACTAGTTTTCAGCCGTGTTTGCACTTCAAGCGAATTGCACGCATTTCTCGCTCGAGACGCACTGGTTAGCATTTTGACCGAACACTGATTCAATTTCGTATCTC